ACAGCATGGAGAATACAGTCAGTGATTCTGTAAAATCTTCCTATGTTGACAGATAATAGCTGTACTAGTAGGGGGGATTTAATCATATGGGTAACTGCTGCATCAATGTGTTGCACACTTGAAACTAATAAAACATTGTATATCAACTGTACTTAAGTTAAAAAAAAAGAAATCACAGTTTGTTTCTGTTCTGCTTTGGGACTATAAACCTCAGGATAATTAGAGCATTAAACAAGTATCTGCTCTGATAGTGTGGTTCAGTTTCATGATGACCTGCTAGAATGTAAAACAAGCCAGAAGCCAAAGGATCCCTGACTTCATAGGCACAATTCCGGAACTTCCAGTTTTGTGGCCTTGCTCTGGGCAGTAGGACAGACCAGGTAGATACAGTTTTGATAAAGGCTGTCCTGTCATGAAACTAACACTGGCAAGCCATTGAGACCTAAACTTGGATTTAAATTGAGAATATGCCCCCCAAACCTACCACACAACTCTTGAGATTGTCTGGACTGTTTCTATCATAAATAGCTGTTTGATCTGTCCATTTTTCATGTGAAATGTCTCACTGTTATCTTTTTCTTTCTACCATTTCTTTGACTACCCTTTCCAATCCTCATTTCTTTTTATCTGATTAAAATAATTCATTCCATACATCCTATGGCCAGATTAATCTTCCTGAAGCATTACTTTAGTGCTGTCTCTCTAAGAGTCAAAAGCCATCGATAGCTCCCTTTTGCCTACTAAATCAAGCACAGTCTTATTACTCAGCTGACCAGTGTCCTCTACAGTCAGGCACCATGCACCCAATTCCTTCCAGTTCTACCCTGCACTCATCTGTCCCGCTGAGCCTTCATTCCAGCCATTGGTGTTTCTCCCATTGTTGCCTGTACATCTTTCTTAGTATGTCATTGCTGTCCTATCTCTTGATCACAGAATCTTGAAATGTGGCTAGGTTGAACTGGCATGTGTGTAAGTATAAAAATCATACTGAATTTTTAACACAGTATGAAAAAGTAAAGTATCTCATTAGTACTTTTTATATTGATTACATGTTGAAATGATATTTTAGATATCTTAGGGTAAATAAACTATACTATCAAATTAATTTCACTTGTTTCTTTTTACTTTAAAAATGTAGGAACAAGAAACTTTAAGACTGTGTATGTGTCTTGCATTATATTTCTATTGGGTGGCACTGAGCTAAAGTCTCTGGTCAAGGATAGAATTAAGTATACAAATGCACAACTAGTAATTGGATGGGTCAATTGATATGGCTAAACTCTTTATCTTTTCATTACATTGGCACAAGTAAAAGCATAAGGGACTATATTTTTTAAAATGCACACAAACCTAGATAGATTCAGAGTAGAGCTGTTATTGATTACTAACGAATCGAACATACTATATCCATTAAGTTTTTGGTAACATCTCGCTGCAAATCTTTGACATTAAGCACTAAAGCAAAATTCTTCAAATGGAGCTTCCGTGAAATCTGTGCAATGTAAGAATGAAAACGACCTATTACTTGTCAATTATACCTTGATAAAGCTGGGAAAAGGGGAAAAAGAGAATGAAGATAGCTTTTTAGGGACTAAGAAACCTGTCTGCTGAAACTAACCTTGGCAAATGACAGAGTCACAAATATTCAACAGGTCAACTATGTTGTCAAGTCTAACGGGCCAATCAGGATCACTGGTGCTCTCTGGCTCCTGAATTTCCCTGCTCTATAGCATATCTATCCTGAAGGACCCTAGAAAGCAAAAGATGGGGGCAGAGGCTATGGGACTGTCCTGCCTTTACCAGGTATGCTGGCTGACTTCAGGGACCACTTTGTCTTCTTCCATATTGTTCCTCAAGCACAGAGCAAAAGCCTCTGACAGCTTTCAACACTGGCAGAAGTAGAGCCAAACAATACCCTGTGAATATACTACCTCTTTAATTTGATGTGCAGTAAATGAAGTCTCACTCAAATAAGTGTGTGGATTGGGTCTGTTGTAAGCTTTTGGTGGGAGTGGGAAGGGCACTTGAGTGTGGTTGTTTGCATTGTTCCAGAATGCACCAGTGTACTCTCCTGCCTTTTCTCCCCAACACCTCTTGATCCCTCCCCAGTCAATACCACCACCACCACCACCGGTTAAGATTTACTTAGTGCTTACTTCCTGTCAGGCCCTTTTCTCAATATTTTACATCTGTTATTACCTCACTGAATACCCAAACCATTCTTTGAACTAGGTATTATTTATATCCTTAAAGGGGAGAATATGGAGGTACAGAGTGGTTAAATAAGTTGCCAACATGACTAGTAAGTCGAAAGCCAGAAAAGAGAAAACAGTCTGTTTGTCTTGGTGTGTGAGACCCTGGAATACAGCACCAGGAGACTCTGACTCGTTCATGACAGAAGGAACAGGTGTGTTTGGCCAGAGCAAGCCTGGACCAGTAGGTTATTCCTTAAGCTGCTTGGTACCTAGAGGTAGAAAGTTTTTGACCTCCAAGCTTTTGTGGCCTTTAAATGAGTGTCAGAGGACTATAATGGGTTATGGCACTTTGCTGAGCATCTAAAGCTAGTTATTAATCACAGGGTATTGCCTGAAAAGTTTTACAACATATAATATTGCTTACTGGCTTGAACCTAGATATATATCACTTAGTAAGTATAAATAATATTTATTATGGGTTTATACTGTGCCTTTGGGTACTTTCTGGCCTCTGAGGACATGGAAAAATGGAAGTATTGTACATACTTTGCAATCTTTGTTTTCCACCTGGCTTCTGGCATACTTCTGCGCTCCAGAGAACCCCCTACAGTTTCTTTAGCTTTGGAGACAGACTTAGGTCCGTCAAAGCCTAGGGTGGAGAGAAAATGCATACAGGGGAAAAGCAACAAGTTACATTTGCTTCTTCATTCTGTATAAGTAGAGGGAGGGCCATTGGCTAAGCTTAGCTGGACTCTGTATGAGTACAAATGCCCCCCTTTTATTTTTTAGCAACAACCTCATGGCTGTTTGGAACAGTTTGGAGCAGGGGATAAAAAAGGAAACACATTTTCTCTGTTCAAAGATCTCATGCCCTTGAAAAGGAGAAACACCAATTAAATATCTGAATGTCCTTCATCGTTGAAGATAATGACATTAAGGCAAATCAAGTCATTATTAAGAACCATGGCCTGATTAATTCTAAATGGAATTATCTTTACCGTTTCCACATTTGCTATATGTTTACAGAATGTTAAGAGTGGCATAGATTATTAGAGAGTTTGAAATTTCCTCCTCTTTTATATGAGGAAACTGAAGCCCACAGAAAGGTTTGTTAGAATCAAAGATTTGGCTTTCATATTCCCACTCCTTCAGATTTTTCATTGCAAATAACTTGATTTCTTTGATTGTTTGAACTAAATTTCCTTGTTCTTTTAGTCCTAATTTCAAGTTGTTCGCAGAACAGATAATGTCAATACTGTCTTAAATGTATTCATAAAATGTTATGATGAAGTGATAAAGACACTCTTATGTTAGTAATTATTTCTATAATTGCAAATAGCAAATAGAATCTTCATCTAGAATTTCTTTTTTCTTTTTTGCCTGTAAACATAAACAAAAGAAAGCAATCAGATGTCAGCCTTTGGTCTTTGATTAAGGATGGATGTATCTGCCCAATAGAATGACACAAAACATATGGCAACTATAAACTGTATAATAACCAAAAATACACATATACAAATAGATGGCATATATATACATACATACATACATACATATATATATATATATATAAGATTATACTTAACACTTATCAGGGCACAGTGAGTCCCAGAGACCTTCAAACATGAGCTAATAATTAGTTGGCTGTCATTTCAGATATAATTAGCAGGTGTCCAATCCTGTTTAATAAAATTAAAAAATACATGATGGGACAGTGGGGCTGTTCTTTATTGTGCACTAGGTGGTTACATGGGTGTATACATCATAAAAATTCATTGAGCTTCTCACAAGATTTGTGCATTTTACTGTATATGCACTATATGGTAAAACTAAAAAATATAAACAAACCTCGAAAGACTAAAGACAAACTAGGACATGCAATCGATCTTTTAATTATTTCAGATTTGCTGTATCTTAATTACTGATGAGTACTTAAGAGAGTGCCTTGAAACATTTTTTGTTTCTCCTGTTTATCTTCCAATAAACTAAGTTATTTAAAAACATCTTGTGATCTTCTAACTTATAAGACAAGAAAGACTTTAGCTTACCCATTTGCAAATAAGATGATATAGTAATTACGTCCAGAATTTTGTATAACACGAAGTCATTTGGGGGTTTTAAGTAAAATTTTTTTACACTTCTATTCCGCCGTCTGATATTTTATCGGGTACTTCAGGCAACGGTATTCAGATAGCAAATGGGTCGCTGAACTAAAGAACCTTTCGAAAAAATGGTACGGTTCTATTCCCCATCCCATATTCTCAAAATTCACTTTTTCCCCTGGACGCCACTTGAGGGCAGTTGCTTGAGAACCATTAGCACACCTGGTTTGAATACACTTTTAAAACTTTTTTGTTTTTATGTTTTATCTCCTTGCGTTATAAACCCTTATTCTCTGGCGTTCTGCATACTTTCAGTCCGATGGCCAGCATGTTTACTCACTCCTACTGGGTTAGGGAACCACGCTTTTAGAAACCTGCCGAACGTCCGGAAAAGGGGTAAGACTACGCTTCCCAGAATGCAGCGCTCCCCCCCAGTCTCGCCTCTCGGATATCCAATGACCAGGCTCCGCTAGCCTTCTCTCAGTTCCATTGGTCAGCTTTCCTGTCAATTGTGGGCTGAGCAAGGAGGCGAGCAACAGAGAGCCCCGAATGCCACATTTCCCGCCACCGCAGGGCGCGCTCGGAAAAGCCTAAGCAGCAGCAGCTCACGATCGATTGGATATACGGTATTCTCGCGAAAGAAGAATCGACCAATCAGAATGTGTATATTCCTCGGAGACCCTCCCCCTCCCCTTCCCGAGCTACCCTTTGGTGGCGGGAAAAGTTCGGAAGCTTTCGCGGCTAGGCGGGGTTATCGACGTGCCCTGAGTGTGGTACTGGAGGCAGTTCCACCGCGGCAAGCATGGCCGGGACTGTGGTGTTGGACGATGTGGAGCTGCGGGAGGCGCAGAGAGATTACCTGGACTTCTTGGATGACGAGGTGAGGGAGGCGCCGGGTCGCGGAACTCTGGCGCTTGGAGCCCCGGGAGACGCAGACCAGCCGAAAGAGGCCATGCGAGACGCCGCCGGCACCGAGCCAGAGGACCGCTAGGCCTCCAGTCCGCCGCGGCTGAGCCGGCTGGCTCGGGAGCCGCCACCCCGATCTTGTAACCTTTTTTTGCAACAGGCAGTAATTAGTTGTTTTCCAGTTGGTGAACCCTTGAGAGCGATCCTGTAACTTTCTCCTAAGTGAAATGATGGCCGGGTTTCGCGAAAGGCGACAGGTGTCCTTAAAGTACAAACAAAATGCAAAGCCCACTTTGACCTTTTAGAAATCGCTCCCTGCTCTCCTCATTCGGGGGAAGGACGTCTGTAGAGTAGTGTTCCTATGCGTTGCTGCATTTCCGATTTTAGTGACTGATGTCCTACCGGGAGGAAAAAACGTCCTAATTGGGCACAGCATTCTTTTATGAGCTGCAGAGAACAAGTGTTTGATGTGCACGTAAAGGGGATTTTGTGTGCACCTCAGGAGTGAAAGCCATAGAATGATAGTAAAGCATCTTGAAAGGTTGCTGATGCTCTCTCTGTAAAAGATTGCTAAGGCTCCCTACTTCTTTAGGCCTGGAAATAGAACACTTTCTACATTTTACAGATGATCGGGAAATAAAATATTTTAGTTCTGTACACAATTCTCAAGTGAAAAATCATTTTAATGTGAATATTGAGAGTATTTAAAGTTTTTATTTCTTGGTCATTTTAGACATCTTAAGAGCTCATTTGAATTCCCCTTTAAAGGCTGAGAAATGACTGCGTACAGAAAAACTGTTGAGCATAGAATTAATACCGTGGACCTCGGGGAAGTCATTTTAATTGCTACACTGGCTTCTTAAGGTGTATTTGGAATCTGAGGCTAGTGAGTGAGAATGTGTGAGACATTGGGATTCAGCTCTCCCACAGAAATTGATTTATTTGTCTTGCTATGAGAGCTGCCTTTTCTACAAACATCTTATTTTTGAATTTGTGACTGTTGTGATGTGTTGTGGCTGTTTTGCAGGAAGACCAGGGAATTTATCAGAGCAAAGTTCGGGAGCTGATCAGTGACAACCAGTACCGATTGATTGTCAACGTGAATGATCTGCGTAGGAAAAATGAGAAGAGGGCTAATCGGTGAGTGGCAAGGGTTTCCAAGGGGACGTCCTAGCTCCGAGTAAGAATGGCTCCCCTCCCGTCCCCCGTTCGGAACAGGTTTCCCAGGAGAGGACCTGGATGTAGTGTTTTTGACCTAGAAGCCTTCATTGTGTCACCTGCTCCTGTGTGTTTTCTTCTTCCCAAAGTAGGTTGTGGGCATTTTCCTCTTAAGAGTGCCTCCTTCCATGTTATTCACTGGGTGTCATTTCTGCGACTTTGAATTGTTGAATTAAAGTTGGCCTCTGGTTCTAATGTGTTTCACTGAGTCTTAATAGGATGACAGGAGAAAGTAGGAGCTAGATTTTCGCTCCTTGGCGTTGATCATCTGAGAATGTGTACTTCTATTTTGAGGTTCAATTTTTAAGTTTTGCCCTATCTGCCTAATTCTTTGTCTTGCCATATGCAGTCTCCTGAACAGTGCCTTTGAGGAGCTGGTTGCCTTCCAGCGGGCCTTAAAGGATTTTGTGGCCTCCATTGATGCTACCTATGCCAAGCAGTATGAGGAGTTCTACATAGGACTGGAGGGCAGCTTTGGCTCCAAGCACGTCTCTCCCCGGACCCTCACCTCCTGCTTCCTCAGCTGTGTAGTCTGTGTGGAGGGCATTGTCACTAAATGTGAGTGGGTTAATGTGGGTGGCAAAGGGAATGGAGGTGGGACTGAAAAAGCCGCAGAGGCAGAAGAGAGCTGGTTAGCCAGTGGCTTCAGAAAGCTGGAGCCTTGCCATTACAGTGTGAGGCGCAGAGCTCCGCGCGTGCGCAGTGGTTAGGGGACCGGAATGATGAGTTCTGAGAGCGGAGGAGCCTTGGCTCTTGGCATTCTCCTCCTTCTAACTCTGGACGGCTGTTTCTCAGTTGGGATCAGTTGTACTTCAGGTTTTACATGGATATGGGGATGTTCCCTGTATACATATAAAAATGAGTAAATGGCAAGTGTTAACTGAAATAGCATAAACTAGTCAGAGGAATAGCATCTGGGGCAACATAGCTTGCCTGGGTTAGATCCCACTTGTATCACTGTCTAGTTGGATGACTTCATAAGCATCTTTTCCATTCCTAGGTTCTCTGGTTCGTCCCAAAGTCGTCCGCAGTGTCCACTACTGTCCTGCTACCAAGAAGACCCTAGAACGACGTTATTCTGATCTCACCACCCTGGTAGCCTTTCCGTCCAGCTCCGTCTATCCCACCAAGGTGACTAACCTCTTTAGAGGTTGGAGTCAAAGATGTTTGTTTTAGTGCGAGTAGTTGGGTAATATCCGGTCTTCCTTAGTTAGAGAAGCAAATAGGGTGAAAAGAAGGGATTAATCTAAAGGGAAGATTGATTGCTAGCCACAATTTAAAATGGAAAGACCATAATTATTTTTTTAAAAAAAGAGTAAGTTCACTTTAGAAAATTTGGAAAATTATGGAAGGGTTGAAAGAAGGAAAATGTCATCTAATCTGCGTTGATCTTGTAGCAAAGATAGGATATATGGTTTTATACTCTAATGTGGGAAAATACCTATGCTAAAATGTTATTATGAAATCTTTGTGAATATTTTAACTGGGTTTGAAAGAAGATTGGCATAGGAAATGGCTTTATTGTGGTGCTCAGATTGATCAGAATTAAGGATGATGGGAAGCCTTCTTAATGAAATAAAAGATATTAATATTACTTGATGTCTGAACTTATTCTGTCAAAGAATATCTGTTCTTGCCATCAAATTTCAGTTGAGAGCTACGATACGCAAAGAATTGTTCAGCATTGTGGAGGACACAGATATAAATAGGACCTAGTCCTTGTCTTCAGCTTTATCAGTTGGTGGAGGAATCTTAACATACAAACAAGAATGAGTGTCTTAGAATTATAATTGAAACATACTTCAGAATCATTTGGCCTAGCTCCAGATGAAAGGCTTTTGGAGAGGTTAAATGACTTGCTTACGGTTCCAGTTAGTGATGGTCCTAAGGGTAGGACCCATGTCTTTACTTGCAGGCCAGTTGCCCTTTCTGTCACCCTGTGCTGTCTTTCACTAAGATCCCTACTTTCTAGAATTCCTTCCTTAGTAACAGCTCAGAGGACTCCTCTGCTGCTTACTGTGGTCAAGCTTCTTTGTTTGAGTGAGACCTGAAATACATTGAACCTGGTCTCCTAGAGGTTGTCCAGTGTGGCACTTAAGGAACATGGGCTTTGGGACACCTGCCTCAATACCGACACTGCTGTTCACTATATGACCTTGGGGAAATTAATTTCCCCCAGCCTTGGGTACTTTTCATATTTGTGAAGTGTGAAATACATGTTTACTGAGTTGTGATTACATGAGGTAGTTTCATGAAATAGTATAGTGCCTTGCATATAGTAAGCAGTCAATAAGAGATAGCTGTTGTGGTTCTAGAAAATTCAAATGGCAGGGAAGTAAAACTGTAAAATGTTCCTACTGAAGTTTAATGTACATACAGTACATTCGCAGAGGTGTACAGCCCACTGAAATTTCACAAGCTGAATATACCTGTAAAATCAGCATCTAAACCAGGAATCAGAACTTTTAAGCACTGGGAAGTCTCTCCTGAAGGCCCATACAATTGCCACAGGTAATCCTATCCTAACATCTAGCTGCAGGGTACTTTTGCCAATTTCTATATTTTATCTAAATGCTATTCTGTGTTGGGTTTCTTGTATTCAAAACACATGTTTGAGATTGGTCCATGTCGTGTGTGGGTGTGTTTCATCCATTTTCATTAATGTGTAGTATTCACTTGTATGGTTATACTACATTTATTTAACCATTCATTGGTGGCATCAGGATATTTTCTAATTTTTGGCTGTTAGGAGTAGTGCTGCTGTGAACATTGTAGTACATGGCTTTGGGTAAATGTATCTGTTGGGTAGGTATTTCCTAGGAGTGGAAATATTATGTCATAGTATAGGAGAAATAAGAATTTTACTTTAGGTGTTACTATAGCCATGGTCCCTTCAGACAGTAGATTGCCTCTTCCATTAGATGGTTTGTTTCTAGAACAAATAGAAATGCAAAAAGTTGGAGAAGATGTTTTCCTTTTTTTGTTCTGGATCCTAAAATCTCATGAGGTCATCTCTGAATCACATTTGTTTCCTAGAAGAACGAGTGTGGCATTTCTAAGACAAGGCTGAGCTAACTCTCCTTTTCCAGGATGAGGAAAACAATCCCCTTGAAACAGAATATGGCCTCTCTGTCTACAAGGACCACCAGATAGTCACCATTCAGGAAATGCCGGAGAAGGCCCCAGCTGGCCAGCTTCCCCGCTCTGTGGACGTCATTCTGGATGATGACTTGGTAGATAAAGTGAAGCCGGGTGACCGAGTCCAGGTAGTGGGGACCTACCGTTGCCTTCCTGGAAAGAAGGGAGGCTACACCTCAGGGACCTTCAGGTAAAGAGTCAGTTGTGACGTGTTTGGAATGCTGCTGGCAGCTTGCATTTCTGCTCACATTCTTTCTCCAGTTTGCCCTGTCCCAGAGTTGTGGGGGACAGGTGGGCAGGTGGGGCACTCTGCCTGCCTAGGACACGGGGTACCTCTTCCCTGTCAGATAACACCAGAGATACTGTCTTATGCTCAGAGTGGGGCTTACTGTTAGCATGCTTCCAGCCTCATGGCTTCCCTGGGAGTTTCTCACACATTCCCACCTCCTTCCTATACACACTTCTGTCTGGAGCTCTGTGGGTCAGCAGGAGATAAATCAGTTACTGGCCTTATTGGCATATTGTATCATAGACTAAGAATCAGTTGTTGAATTCAGAGCAACTTGTCTCTTTTCTGCCTTTTTTTCCAATTTGCTGTTCTAGCTTGATAGCCTACAAAGGCTCTGATGTTAGGAACTGAAAGTAACAGGCTTAGGCTTCTTCCTATTCTCTTGCCCCAGGACTATCCTCATTGCCTGTAACGTGAAGCAAATGAGCAAGGACGCGCAGCCTGCCTTCTCTGCTGAAGACGTAGCCAAGATCAAGAAGTTCAGTAAAACCCGTTCCAAGGTCTGGACATGCTTTAAGGTTTAAGGTCGGATGGATTTGTTAGACTCTTGGTTAGGTCGTGGCCATCTTTGTAATGGATCAGGAGGAATGTTAGGGTTTTTTTCTGTTGAGTATTTGGTGCTATTAGTTTTGACTCAGCAAATAAAAGGGTGTTTTTGTTGCTTTTCTTTAATATTTCTGTTGTGCTAACTGCTGGGCTGCCAGATGGCCCTAATACAAACAGTAGAATAGGAGTATTTGAGTGTCAGTGTACCAAGGAGTCTGTACTGGAGACATCTGTGATGCACTGTTACTTAAATTTAAAATATGTTAGGCTTAGTTCTCTGGTTTGATTTTCTTTTTAAGACAGAATGTGCACATTTAGAACTGAACACAATATATGCATGTGGTAAAGGTTGCTGTTGAAGTGTGGGGCACATTCTTACTAACCTGAAACATTTTGAACCCAGAAACACGATTTTCCTTAAAGACTGAACATTCGAACAAGTTTTGGCATCCTGGTTTCCTCTGTGTCTGTCCTGATAGTAGTCTGAAGTGTGGTTTATCTCAGAGAAGAAGCTTTTACAGTTAGAAACTGTGTCTGTATTTATGTATTTCTTTAAACATTTTCTGTAGGCTAAAGTATAAAGCAAAACTAAGTAGGATTTTGAATCTCAGTACGATTTTCACTCTGTTGACCGTTCCTCCTGTAGGATATCTTTGACCAGCTGGCCAGGTCGTTGGCGCCTAGTATCCATGGGCATAACTATGTCAAGAAGGCGATCCTTTGCTTGCTCTTGGGAGGGGTGGAACGTGACCTAGAGAACGGCAGCCACATCCGCGGGGACATCAATATTCTTCTAATAGGTATGGTGGTGGCAGTTTATTAGATTCTTGGTCTTCCCTTATGGAGTATGGTTGTGGGGATCTTACAATCTGTAAGATTGTATATTCTATACCTGGCTGTATTTCATTCTCACCAAAAGGCAGAGCTGAAACTTTTTAAAATTATTGTTTTTGGGTTTCCTGATTTATGATATCTAAAGTAATTCTTCCTTTCCAGGAATGGTAAAGGGAAAAAAAATGAAAGAAATATTAACCACTGATTACTGTATAGTTATGTTAGGCCGAGAGCTGTGTTAGAAAAGCAGAACCTGCTGGGGTCTGGGGGTTCCCTGGAGTGTCACCACTGCCCCCGTGCAATTCTAGGAGACCCATCAGTTGCCAAGTCTCAGCTTCTGCGGTATGTGCTGTGCACTGCACCCCGGGCCATCCCCACCACTGGCCGGGGCTCCTCAGGCGTGGGTCTGACGGCTGCTGTCACCACAGACCAGGAAACAGGTGAGGTTGTCAGGGTGCTTGGCAAAGGTTCAGAGTGAGATGGGGCACAGATTCTCTGAGTGGGCTCTGGGCACTGGCTTGTGTAGATACTGGAGGGGTTAGATTGGGCCAGATTGTATAGAACTGAGTATCCTGCTATAGGGGGTGAATTATTTAAGTCTTTGGGTGGCTCTCTATTGACAAGACTGTGTCATAGGAGGTGATTTTGAAAGAGTTTTGGATGAGAAAGCTTTTTAGATTTGAAGAAAAATAAAAATGAAGGCTGTGCTTTATAAAGTACAGGAAGGGATTTGAAGACTAGTTAAGAGAGCAGAGATCTAGTTGGGGAGTCACTTGAGGATGAGGATATAAAGAGAAAGTCTATAAAGGATGCTCGCTGCTTAGGGATCAAAATGGGACAAGGAGATACTGTTCAGATTGGAGCTGAAAAGGTGACCAACCGGGTGTCCTCAAGTCTCTCTGAGTTGACATCTCTTCACTAAACTCATGTGTAACAGCGAGAGCTTCTTAGGCAGGAGAGTGAAATCTCCAACCTCTGTCCCCTACAATCTGGATGGCAGCACGTATTTTTTGCCTCGCCACTTCCCAGGGGAGCGCCGTCTGGAAGCGGGGGCCATGGTCCTGGCTGACCGAGGCGTGGTTTGCATTGATGAATTTGATAAGATGTCTGACATGGACCGCACCGCCATCCACGAAGTGATGGAGCAGGGTCGGGTCACCATCGCCAAGGCTGGCATCCATGCTCGGCTGAACGCCCGCTGCAGTGTTCTAGCAGCCGCCAATCCTGTCTACGGCAGGGTGAGTGGAATCGGGCACTTCACCATTGTCCTCACCTTCATTTGGTTTTGCTGAATATCTGGGCGGTGATGTTTATTGTCTGTGACCAGGGGCAGAGCAGGCCAAAGAATAAGGTTATCAACTCATCATCCTGTTATGGTCCTTGGTTTAGGGCAGTATTTTTTCACCCATTCATACACATCAGAATCCTCTGGAAAGTTCCTTATTTAAAATGCTGTTTAAAATTACAAAGAAGAAAACAAAAGAAAAACAAGTCACAACCAGTAACTTGTATTGACATTAAGAAAAAAGTACATGTGGATGGTAGGAGGATTTATAAACAACAGAGAGATAGAATATAGAAATTAAGTCTTCCTTCTGTCCTTTCCCGAGAGAGAGAACCACTAAGAGGGCTTGAGTGTGTTTGAGGAAACAAAATCTTAAGCATGTTCTAGCAAATACACTATCTCCTTGTTGAGAGTTAATCTACTTATCTTTGATTTTTAGTATGATTATGAGTTGCTTAGGTGTAATCTTTTATACTTGTCTGGCTTAGGGTTTACTAAATTTTGCCTTAAAAAAGTTTTTGTAGCAGCTGTCTAGTAATCCATCGTATGGATTTATAGTGATTTACTTAGTCTCTTTTATCAGCCTTAGGTGCTCCCCCCATGCTATTGTGAATGAAACTGCAGTGAACATCCTTTTATGTGTATTTTGTTAAACATCTGAGACTACATCTGTACCATAAATAACTAGTGATGGAATTACTGAATTTAGAGTTATATGCATTTTTATTTTGGAGATTGACAAATTATCCCCTTTAAAGATTATAGAATAATACTACTAATTAAAGCTTTTGAACGTCTTGTATTTAGCAATTCCTTTCATCGTACCCAGTGAGGTAGGTAGTTTTTTTTCCTCTTTTTATAGATGAGAAAATAGAGGCATAAAACATTAAATAACTTGCTTAAGAGTCACAAGCTAGAAAATGGCAGAGGAAGGATTTGAACCCAGAGTTCATGCTGTGCTCTGGCAATTTATGATTGCACAGTGCATGGAAATAGCTATTTTGGTGGTGTGTTTTTTTTTTTTTTAAACATACAGTTGCCTAGTCCCCAGCCCAGAGTTTCTGAATCCATGAGCCTCGGGGCTCTTGGTAGCTGTGGTTTATAAGGCTCCAGAGGTTGGTTCTAATGTGTAGCCTGGGTTGAGAGCTGTAGGTTTTAGATTAATAGTAAAAGGTGTCCACATCCATTTCATTCTGAAGAATTATTTTGGAAAACTTAGAGGAAATGGCAGGTCCTGAAATGTGAGCATGGTTAGAATCATGATTGATGTTACCCACAAAGTTGTTAGGCTCTCTGACTGAGAAGTGTGTTTGGGTCAGTAGGTGTCAGCCTCTAGGCCAGAGTTGAAAAACAGGAGTTTAGGGGTTCTTGAGTCCCAGAGAAAAGCTCCCTTGATCCTTAAAATACTGTGATTTATAGATTATTGACCATTTTCATTGAGTTTCCTCATTGCCTTCTGAGTAAGAGACTCCAAAGTTTCCAGGTGTTTCTGGCTTAGCCGCTTGTCCTTTCTTTATAGCAAGTAGGGTTGAGGGGATCGTCTTTCAGGGTTGGTGCTGCCTTGGGAATGAGAGGGGCAGAATAGCACTTGGGAAGGAGGCGGCTGGTTTGGAGACCTGCACTCAGCCTGTTAAGAGGCACCTAAGCTATGAGGTGGGACTGTTCACTTGGAGGGAACCACGTATGGGGCTCCAAGTTGAGTTAGCTCACTTGCGCTTCCCTTAGAGAAGGGTTCCAGGTAGAGGAAATGAATTAGGTATTTTGGTAGCTTTAGAATACTTAACTTCTTCACCGCTTGTGTGTTTTGTTTTTGAAGGTCTGTCTTCCATTCTCTCGCATAATCAGTCTGGCCTCCTCGTCCTCTTAACTGATGTCGCCTCTACTTTCATTTTTTCTTGTGTTCTCCAGTATGATCAGTACAAGACTCCTATGGAGAACATCGGGCTGCAGGACTCACTGCTCTCTCGATTTGACTTACTCTTCATCATGCTGGACCAGATGGATCCTGAGCAGGATCGGGAGATCTCGGACCATGTCCTTAGGATGCACCGTTACAGGGCGCCGGGGGAGCAGGATGGCGATGGTGAGGCCATGAGGAGACGTGAGACTGACTAATGGAAGGGAACCTAAACAGGCCATTGCCCCTGGCACCCAGGTGGTGGCAGGTGTGTCGGCGTCGGGGTTGATATCACAAGTGCCCTCCCTGCCTGCTCGCCTCCCCTTGCTCACTGGAGCGTACCCTAAGGTGTATTTTCTGTTCATTTCTTGGTGGAGGAGCCCTTGAGCGTGTGTGGGCCAGGTGGTTCTACCTTCCTTATTTGTGGGCTCCGCATGTCTAATGCCTTGCTGTGTGAGTGTTGTCTCTCTTCTGAAGAGGCAGTTTCCCCTGAGTCATGCTTGTTTTATTCTCCTTTCTCTGTCAGCTATGCCTCTGGGTAGTGCTGTGGATGTCCTGGCCACAGAGGATCCCAACTTTAACCAGGAAGACCAGCAGGACACCCAGATTTATGAGAAGCACGACAACCTCCTGCACGGACCGAAGAAAAGAAAGTGAGTGTTCGCCGTGACTCCCCCTTGAGAAACCCTGAGGTTTGTGTCTATTGGGGCGTGTTTTTCTGTGCTGCCCAGCCCAGATCATGCCGGGCCTCATAGCCATGGGGGCCTTTTTTGTTGTCTGGATCCAGAGATACACCCTTTTCCTGGCCAGTTGACTTGCAAATGTTTGTGGCTGATGAAGCTTAGGTTCTGATCTTTTCCTGAGATGGCAGGTTTTAGTGGCATACCTAACTGATGGTGGTGTGTCACGTTTACCCTGTACCCCCATGTATGTGCAAGTCATGTAGTCTTTTGCTATGAGCTATGTTGAAGGGTCAGTGGGTAGCAAGCCCTGGAGGCTATGCAAGTGGATTTGGATAAAGGAGACTTGTGCTCAGGTGTTCAAGGCATGGAATGTGAGCTGCTCTCTCCCCGCCGTTTTTGGCCATAGTGCAGTAGGAAGTGCAGTCTTCAAACGTGGCTTTAAGAACATGGAATTTAGTCAGAAGACAGGATTTTGAGTTCATTTAAGCTTTTGTGAGCCATAGTTTTCCCACCTATAAAGTAGGACAAATAATACCTAAACTATTTACCTCAGAAATAATATCTAAATAATCCCTGTAGAATTAAGTAAAACTATATGAAAGGGTCTTGTGCATGTTCTGTGTAAATGGGATTTATGATAATGGATTCTAGGTTCAGTTCCTGCCTTGTTACTTGACCTTGACTTCACTGAGGGGAGGCCAAGCCACTACTTGAGGCAGGTGCTGAGGTGTGGCAGGAAAGTGAAATTCCCTGTGTGCGGGTCCAGGGAGAAGATGGTGAGCGCCGCTTTCATGAGGAAGTACATCCACGTGGCCAAAATCATCAAGCCAGTCCTCACCCAGGAGTCGGCCGCCTACATCGCGGAAGAGTACTCGCGCCTGCGCAGCCAGGACAGCATGAGCTCCGACACTGCCAGGGTGCGTCCCCAGGCCACCGGGGCCGGCAGGCCCTGAAATGCTGCGGGGCGGAGGCCCTGCCCTTGAGCTTAGTGAACTCTTGCTTAGTCTTTCTGGTGGAAGGGCTCCTGTTACACAGTTCTAACTGTTTGCTTTTACAAAGGAAAATGAAGCGAGAACCCCAGAAAATAATACGTGTCTCTCAGTTCAAATGACATTGGCCTCCAGAAGCTGTGATTCATTCCTCAGACAGAGCAGCATCTGGGGACGGAACCTGTCTCTGTTCTTACCTGCAGTGTTGAAGTAGTCAGAGCTGTCCTCAGAGAGCTCGGATCCGGGATGGGGAGGCGGACAGAAGGCGGGTGGGAGGGTCATATATATGCATTTGCAAATACTTACCACACGTGATTCCTAAAGGAATGGATGTGGAAACGGAGAGATGAGGAAGCTATTAATTTTGCCTCTAGACTTTAGAAAGGGTATGAATGTCAGGGAAGGATTCCCAGATAGTGATATTTGTGCCGGACTTTGACAGCTGGTTAGGAGTTGGGCAATCATGATGATCCAGAGCTGTTTCTAGAAACCTAATATGTCTGCCCATGAATTTATGTAAATCTTCTGGGGCAGTGTAGTTCATGCGAGGTTGCCACAGCTGAATGACCAAATTAAAAACCATCATGTGAAAGAGACACAGACTGTTGGATTCACACATGATCCCAGATCATCTGTTTCAGCCTCACACCCAGACAGGAATTCCATCTTCTAGAATTTCTGCCAGGGCTTCCTGGACACCTCCAGTGACAGCATGCCTAGTACATCACTGCATGGAAATGTAATATTCTGTTTTTTGAACCCAAACCTGCTTCTCCATGAATTTTAGCCATGGGTCTTAAATTTGTTTTCTAGAGATTGTATCTTCTTCAGAGTAAACAGCAGTCCCATTCTTTTTATTTGTTTCTACCATCATGTGAACATGTACCCATGTGTCAAAGGCCCTCTCACAGAACATAACACATTATTTCAGTCATGGTCTTGGTGGGAGTGGTAAATCTCTCAATTTGGATTCTGTAGTTCCTCCAGTGCAGGCTAGGATTTCACTAGCTTTTTAGGTTACTCAAAAATTGGAACTTAAAATGGAGTGTATAACTCCAAACTCTGGTATTTTTCTAAATCATTAAGAGACTAGGTGGGTTTATTTAAATGTGAATATATTTGTTTTTGAATGTGGGATTGGGTATAAAGAATACTTGGAAAACTTGCAAGTAGAAGTGACCAGATGTATCATTGAAGGATCATGTGATGCAGACGTGGAGGCGATAGAAGCAATGAGTCGTCTGTTGTGACCCCAGGTCTGCAGCTAACACTGGGACCTTGCCCAGATCCTTTCACCTTTCAGGTCACAGTTTCCTTATCCATAAAATGAGAAGGTTGGATAATGTCAGGGATGCTTAATCTAGGAGGGCACATCAAAACTGTCTGAAGTTGAAAAAGGACACGTGTCCAGTCCTACACTCCATACCTCATGATGCACTAGGCTAGGGATGCCATTCAGACCGTAGCACCTAAAAAGGTAAAAANACTGTCTGAAGTTGAAAAAGGACACGTGTCCAGTCCTACACTCCATACCTCATGATGCACTAGGCTAGGGATGCCATTCAGACCGTAGCACCTAAAAAGGTAAAAACACCCCAGTCTGGTTCTCACACTGACCCCTGTGATAAGACCATTTCAGAATTCTGCTCTTCCTCTGGGTGACCTTTCATACCTTCTCAGTGTGACCTTGGACAAATTATATGAAGCTCTTTGGAGCTCATTTTTCTCATCTATAAAACTCCGAGTTATTAAGAGCATTAAATGACACAATGAATATAAAAGCACAGTTCCATTGTAGGCCAGCAATAAAGGATTACTTTTCTTCCTTCACCATTATGCTCTTTTAGCCTTTTCTCTTGCTGGCTGTAAGAGGCCTAATTTTCTTTTTCCCTCTTCACCTGTTCCTCCCTCAGTACTCTCTCATAAATATTTCCTTAGTTATTTTATCTTCCTGAGTTTTATATGGCATTCATAGAGAGTACAGACCTCTGAATCCTTTCCTTGGACTTCCCACAACTTTTCTGATAGTATCTCTGTCCTTCTCTGTGCAGTGGGATGGATGGGCATGCCTCGGGAGTTCTGGGTAAGTGATCCTCCCTTGCTTTCCTCACCAGACATCTCCAGTTACAGCACGGACACTGGAAACTCTGATTCGGTTGGCCACAGCCCATGCCAAGGCCCGTATGAGCAAGACCGTGGACCTGCAGGATGCAGAGGAAGCTGTGGAGTTGGTCCAGTACGCATATTTCAAGAAGGTGAGGAATCAGATGCTTGGGTGTGAGCAGCTCTTCTGAATGAATCACTCGAGGCTTGAGCTCCGCAGCCTCCCTGGCTGATACCTGCATTTAGGTTGTCGACAGAAAGCAGCGTCCGGCTGCATGTGAGAACCAGCTGAAAAGCTTTAAAGTGTTGGTGCCGGAGCCCTTAGGGGCCCCAGGGATTCTGGCTTTCTGATGTGCTGCACCTCCAGTCAACTTCTTCTCTGACTGCTTTGGCTTCCTTTGCATTTTAAAAAAGTAGGTGTTTCCAAAGTCTTGAACTTGATAATCTTCCTCTTCCCTCTAGACCTTTCGCCTTGGCAGTCTCCTCAGGTGTCCCAGTGGCACCTCAAAAACCCATGTCAGGCACTGAACTCTCAGACATGCTTCTCATCCTGTTGCCCTGTTACTGCTCATGACATTGTGTCTCTGTTATTTTACATGTCAGGCCTTGAAGCCTTGAAGCCTTGACTCCCTTTTCCTCATTCTCACCCCCTCCACAGTTCTGTGAACTGTAGCCCTTTGGGGTATAGTGGATCTCATAGGCTTTTCATGGCCTATTCTTTTTGCTAGGGTGAGAGTTGTCTCAAGTGTAAATTAAACATCGGATCTATAAAGAAATGAATTGTTTTCCATTTGACTATTATGGACTGGACTTTTTTTTTCCCATTCATTTTTTTATTCAGTAAACATTCATTGTGTATGTACTGTGTGAAAGGCATTGCGTATACCTCCCAGCATTTTTAAAGATGGGTAGCAGCCTATACGCCTGCCCCTGGTCCTGGGACTTGGGCACAAGAGAGGCTAGGCCATTAGACCCGTGAAGTCACTTCTGATG